GATAAAAATAAACTTTGGTAAAAAATGTTCCGTTTCGTTGATGCAACTTGACCTTCTTTTCATTTTTCTCAAGGACAATTAGAAAGTTGATGTAAAAATCAATTTTTTTTTTTTTTTTTTCTGATAACATCTCATATATTTTCTTAAAAAGTGCACACTCACCAGAGGAAATTTGTGCCTTTTATACCTTTTGGCCTATTTCTTCCAAACTCATTGAGAGCCTGAATATATATATACCAAAAGATTAAAAGCAAGGGTTGAGAGAAAGAGCAAGAGTCAAGTAGCATTCCAGCCACACGAGTGTATTTTAATGACTTTTCTTTCATTATTCGGGCGTTACAAGCGAGAAAAAAATAAAAACCTTGTCGAGCAGTGTGTAACTAACCCACTCGAGTTCTACTTGTGTCAAACACCTCTAGTTAATTCTAACGGCGTAAAGTGGTACAGCAACCAATTTCTTGCAAGGCTCACGAGCGTTAATAAATGCAATCCTGTGAGCTGTCCGGGGCAGCTTGTCTCTCGACGAGAGAGATGAAAAAATCGGTCGTAGACTAACGCATTGCGTGTTTCATTACGCATTAGTAGCACATTAAAGTAAAAGAAACGTACATGGCAATTAATTAATTTGAATCCAGCTCAGCGAAATTCCTTGATTCATCGTGATGCTTGTTGTTAAACTTTCCTACCGACCGGTATGTGCTTCTCGGGGGTTTAGCGGAGGAAAAATTTCTTTGCGCGAAACTTGTCCTCTGCGCCTCCTGTATCGCGAATAAATTCATCAGATTACGTGTACAGTCGAACTCCGTTAACGCTGCTGGTGCTGCCACAGAAAAGATATGTAGACAAAACTTCTCTGAGTACCAAGCCGTGCGTGACTCGGTGCTGCTCGATGATATCTCCAAATGCTTGGCTCACTACGGTGATAATGTATAATAGCCATCGTTGTTTGTTCGAGTGTGGAATTCGCCTCGCACATACTTGACATAAGTTGGGGGCGCATATTACGCGAAGAGATTTCCAGAGGGGAAACTATCTCCCCTCCCCCGCACACCCGCGCTTTCGTGGCACTTAATTCATTTTTCCTCTCCCCTGTCGGTCTCGCGTTGTTTCGTCTATCGTTCACACCGGAATTGCGAAATCCCGGGATCCAGCCTGCGATCCTCATGCGGTTGCACACGCATTCCTGAGAAACATTACTGCCGCTTTACTGTCACTGACTGTCATACACACGCTCAGCTCGGCTCCTCCGACTCATCGTCTTTCTTTTCTCACTGCGCGTAGTGCTTTTTTTAAATTTATTGGACGCAATTGCATGAAACAGCTCCATAAAGCAGGAATACGTTTTCCCTTCGCTGCTGTTGTTGTTGCGTCCGTTGGCCGGATGTTGGGTGCACGATGACGGCTAAAAAGCCAGTTTATGCTTTTACGCGCACCTGTACCTGGTTCATGGTGTATATTTGGCCGTACACTGCCTTTGGGTCGTGTCTTAATAAAATTGTCGCCCGAAGCTGGGGTGCCACTCCGACTCGACTATTTTCTTTCTCGACTCTAAAATTTTAGTCTAAAGAGATACAACTCGAGAAAAATATTATATGTACCCCCTAAATGACCAATTTTTCTGATTAATAAGTTCTGAGTCTTGAAAAAAAATACATCTAATGAATTTATTAATTTCCAGTAACATCACCGTTCAAAAATTTAAGATTTACGTACAATTGAGAAAAGCTGCGAATATTCGAGGACGTCAACTTTTCGTTTGAAATAATTAAAAAATAAATATATTATTTCAGATTAACTAGAGTTTTTTTGCCTCCAGCTTCTTATCCGCCTCTTTCGTTGAAAACATTTTAAAACTTCCTGAAAACACTTGCTAAAAAACGTACGTGTGTACCTAATTATTACAACTCTCATATTACACGTATAGGGAAAAGGCGTGTACCGCGCGAAGATTCAAAAACTTTGCGTTTTTACCTTGCCCCTCCATTGTTTTCTGTGTACGCATAATTTATATTTTTTTTTTTGCAGCTCATGTTGTACAATTAATGTTCATAAACTGCTAGTGGTTACAAGCTATTATTTCCGTGTCAATCCGTTATCATGATTATTATTATTTACACTCGAAGGTGAGCGCGAAGCTGTGCTGGATGTGGAGGGTTGGACGGAGCGAGAACAAGTGAAGGTTAAATTATAATCTTGTTACTACCGAAGCGATGCATTGTATGGTAGGACAGGACACGCATAGCGCACTTTTGAAAAATTGTGTTCTCGGAAGTCTTGCTCGATTTGTTGGCGCGAGAATATTTAAACGACCGACAAAGCGAGAAGGTACAGCGAATAAAACTCAATTCAAGTCGCATTTCTCTTATTCTTTCTTGTCGTAAAAGTCTCAGAGCAGGTCTCGAGTATGCAGGATCATTATTTTACTGTTCTCGCGAGATGCAAAGACGGACAATGTGCAATGATAAAATTATTGATTTTAAATGGTAACGAACAGTGACTGGATATGATTTGTGTTATTTGCTCATCGATTAAAAAATATCAATCCATAAATTGAATGCTCAACACGATAAAGGCTGGCACCTTCCTCTGTTTAACTCCCTGTCTCTCGAGCACACTTCCTAGTAAAGTTTGAGAGTCGCTACGTTATGTGTTACCCGAAAAGGGCAAACTTATCGTCTCGAGCGAAAAACTTGCAAGTCTTGTGTGTTTTAGTGTGTGTGAGCGTATGTGTGTGGGGGGGGGGGTAGTCTTTACTTGCTCTCTCTCTCTCTCTTTGTCTGTGTATTTACGCTGCTTCTACATTATGTGCACCTGCAACGTTTATTTCTTTTCTCCAACTTTCAGGCCATTAACTAAAAGTAAGGCGACACTTTTCTTTTCTCTTTGTCAATTTACTAGTTTTTATTTTTGGTGTATTGATTTTGTCTTCAAAATTTTGAATTACTTTTTGACACTTACTCTATGTATTTTGTAACGAGATAAAAAGTAGTCGTTGTTGCAATTTTTCTTTATAAGACCATTTTAGAAGGTAATAGTTTATTGCTGTAAAATTTGCTAAATTATTATAATTATCATCCCGTTGAAACTCATATTTTTTATATAATATAAAAAGAAATAGCACTTACAATTGGCACAATTGTCCTTTTAAACTCGATAATTTTTAAATTAATTTACTGTGAGAAATATTGTCATCCAATTTGCAACTAATTAATTATTCTGAAAGACTTTGATTAAAAAAGTGTATTATTTAAATGAATACATAATTACAAAGCTCATCGCCGTAAAGGGAATTAGTATTCTATAAATAACCAACTCGCTCTGTTAAATCGATTGA